GTGTTCAATTTTGAATTTATCACATAGATCTTTCATCATCTTATTGTTTAGATTTTACATGTTAATAGTAATAATATTGCTAGGATTACCATAATGGAAAATTATCTCATTCTTGATAATCCGGGTGACCACTTGCTTTGTTACATTTTCATATGAAGCACCTTTAACCCACTAGGTGAAGTAGTCAATAAGAACCAGTATGAAACAATGTACGTTAGAAGCTTTCGGCTCTATCATTCCAATCATGTTTATTGCCCATATAGCGAACGACCATGGTGAAATTAAGACATTTAGAGGGGAATGTGGCACGTGCACCTTGTCAGCATAGATTTGACACTTGTGGCATCTCATGGCATAAACAACACAATATGTTTCCATTGTCATCTAGTAATAGCTAGCTCTGAGAATCTTCTTTTCCATCGCATGCCCATTTGCATAAACGCCAAAAGAACCTTCATGAATTTCTTTGATAAGTTATCTGCCTCATGTCAATCCATGCATCTGAGCAAGACCAAATGAAAATTGCGCTTATACAACACACCACCACTTAAGAAGAAATTGGTATACATCTTCCTTAAGGTTTTCTTATCTGTGATGGATGCTCCTTCTGGAAACTCATGTTTCTTAAGGTATTGTTTGATATCATGGAACCAAGGTTTGCCGTCTGGATCTTCATCTACTGACAAACAGTAAGCAGGCTCTTCCAGACGTTCAATTATGATGGAAGGTGCCTCATTTGCCCATTTGAACTTGAACGTTGAAGCTAAAGTAGCTAGAGCGTTGCTGAAGCGGTAAAGCGCCAAGCAAAAGTAAGTATTTATTTAGTTTTATCATATCGTCTCCACATGTATTAGTGATACTGAATTGGCGCCCGACAATTTCTCGCGTTTATGAGTTTGGTTTGAATGGGATTAAAGTGGAATGCGGAAGTTAAAAGTTATGAATAGAAAAAGAATTCATTCTTTGGAGAAGAAACTTATCAAGCATGCATATAATTCACTCCTCACAAACTTAAACCTATCGGCCAGTTTTACTTAACCTACAAGACTTATCAATATCATCATGTATCAAACACAACACCCATTGTATCATCTCGAAGGCGACCTCTCAACCAACCTCAACAACAAAGAAGTCAACTGTATTACTCGCGTCGACGATCTCTCAACACGACACAACCAACACAGAGGGATTAATCACAGACACCCAAGTTAATAATAGCTCTAAATCTATCTCTAGAATCTAGACACTATTAGATAATCACCCTAGATAAGAATTCGAGTAGTATATGTCTATAGAAACCCAAACCCCAAAGCACAGAGTAAAAATCCAGGATAATAATCGACAAAGATCTGTAAAGCAAGCTTTATAGAATGCCATGGACGATAAATATACATGAGTTCTAAGTAAATACATATATAAAACGCAACAAATGAAGAATATAGGAAGAAGAAGAGAAATGAACCATAAATCTTCTGGTTTATCAGCGTCGATTGGCGAGAAATCCACCCCAGATCATCCGTATGCAAGCTCCATTGTCATTTTCTAAGCTAATCTACCAAAAAATGAGAGTGATGGAGTTTGGGATTAAATACCCCAAAAACCCTCCATAAAAATGTGTTTTTACAACCTAAATACAAAATTGGATAAGAAACGCACCACCCGACGCCCAAAAGCACCACCCGGCGGTGGCTTTTTTTCTGGCCACTCAGCCTGCGCCATGCAAGCAAAATGGTAAAAATATCTTCTATCGCCCGAAGCTGGCCTCAAGTCTCATCTGGCGCTACACATGCGAGGCTAAGATAGAAGCATCCGGATTTTTTATCATTTTGCACCGCTCTTTCCTCGTCTGGGGCTAAGCTCACCTTGTCACTACCCAGTGCTCATACTGGTGCTTAACACGCTCTGGCTTCACCCGACTCTCATCCTGGCGCTCAGCACGCCCTGGCTTCGCTCGGCGCTCAGCCTGACGCTGGTTCTAAAAAATCTCTTCCTTGTTGTTTTCTTGGCTTTCTTTCTTTTCCTTCTTCCTTTTATTATTCCAAAAATGTATCTTGGAGATTTTATTACTCAATGCTCCAAACATGCTCAAATACCTACAAAATGAATGGAAAACTACCAAACGATACGCAAATGAATGAAAAAATCAATTATGTACAAACTAAATGTATTTACACAAAAGTCGAGTTTATTTAACCAATATTAACAACAAAGAGTCGATAAGTGAAACAAAAAGTATATACAAAAATAACTTCAATTTGCACTTATCAAGCATCAGCTATCTGATTTTCTTCTCTAGGAATATGATGGAATGTGATCTCGTCAAATATTCTTTCAGCTTCATGATATGTTATATGTAAGGAATCAGCTTTTCATTGCGAGTATCCCATTCTCCTTTGACTTGGAAAATGGCAAGTGCTGGGTCTCCGTAAACTTCAAGAATTTTAATCCTCGAGTCAATGGCTGCTTCAATCCCAAAGATGTAGGCTTTATACTCTGCCATATTATTTGTACAATCAAAACATATTTTTTTTATGAAAGGGATATGATACCCTTTTGGAGAAGTAATGGCAACCCTAATATCATGGCCTATTGAGTTAGAGGCACCATCAAACACTAGCTTCCACTGCAATCCTGGTTTGGGTCCTTCTTCAGGGTCTAGAATTGCACAGTCTCTGATGAACACAGCATCCCCATCTAAGAAATCAAATTTCATTGGTTGATAATCTCCCACTGACTGGTGAGCGAGGTATTCGGACACCACACTACCTTTAATTGCTTTTTGAGTCAGATATTGGATGTCATATAGAGATGATAACATTTTCCAACGAGAAATTCTTCCTGTCATGGCAGGCTTCTAAAATATGTATTTGATTGGATCCATCTTGGATATCAGCATAATCGTATGACAAATCATATATTGTCTCAAACGGCGAGCAGCCCACGCCAAGGCAGAACAAGTTTTCTCTAACAAAGAATACCTGGTTTGACATTCAGTGAATTTTTTACTCAAGTAATATATAGCATGTTATTTTCTGTCTGATTCATCTTGTTTCCCTAGAACGCAACCCATGGATCTTTCTAACACAGTTAGGTACATTATAAGAGGCTTTCCCTGGACTTGTGGTATCAAGATCGGTGGTTCTTGCAAGTATTCTTCGATTTTTTCATACGCCTTCTGACAATCATCATTCCACCTGATTGTTTGATCTTTTATAAGTAGCTTGAAAATTGGTTCACAAGTAGTCGTCAAATATGAAATGAATCTGGAAATGTAATTCAAACGACCTAGGAAACCACTGACTTCCTCTTCAGTACGAGGTGCGAGCATATCCTGAATAGCTTTGACTTTATCATAATCAACTTCAGTGCCTCGCTCGCTTAGTACGAAACCAAGAAGCTTTCTAGACCTAACACCGAAAGTGCACTTGTTGGGATTCAAGCGTAGTCTATGCTTCCTCAGTCTAGCAAAAAACTTCTTCAAATGTATGATGTGCTCTTCCTCAGTCTGGGATTTAGAAATCATATCATCAATGTATACTTCACTCTCTTTATGCATCATGTCATGAAAGAGAGTCACCATTGCCCTTCGATAGGTTTCCCTACCATTTTCCAAACCGAAAGGCATCACTTTATAACAGAAAGTTCCCCAGGGTGTGATGAAAGTTGTTTTAACATATCCTCAGGATTCATCTTGATCTGATTATAGTCTAAGAAATCGTCCATGAAGGAGAACACAAAAAATTGAGTTGTGTTATCAACCAACACATCGATATGAGGTAATGGAAAACCTTCTTTTAGACTGGCTCTATTCAAATCTCTATAGTCCACACACATTTGCACCTTACTGTCTTTCTTGGGGACAGGCACGATATTGGCGATCCAATCAGGATACACTGAAACTGCTAAGAAACGGACATCAAATTGCTTCTTGAACTCATCTCTGATTTTCTTGGCCATGTCTGGATTAATCCTCCTCGGCATCTGCTTGACTGGTGGGCATTCTGGATTCACCGGAAGTTTATGCATGACAATGTCTGTATCCAGGCCATGCATATCCTGGTATGACCATGCAAACACATCCACATATTCTTTCAACAACTCGACCAGTTCGTCCTTGACACTCTGCTCAAGGGCAGCTCTAATCTTGATCTCTTTAGATTACTTATAAGTTCTCAGATTGATCACATCCACGAGTTCCTGGTGAGGTTCAATCATCTTATCCTCTTGCTCCACCAATCATGCTAACTCTTCTGGAAGTTCGCAATCTTCTTCAACTTGGCTGATCGGAAATTCGAAGTCAGAGGGAATTATAGCATTGTTGTGCTCAATGGGTTCAATTTTAGATGATCTGCATAAGAATGATTTATTTCTTTTTAGTTGATTTTAAACTAGAAAAATAAATGTGAATGGAAAGTTTCTATTTTATTTTTGAAAAGATTAAGAAATGAAAAAGACAAAGATCTCAGTTGAATAACAAAATTCACTTTTATTAATGATAAAATTGATTAAAACAAGATGGACTTACAAAAGCTGTCCATTATGCCCTGGAAAATTAAATTATATGAATTCAAGACTATTCACATTAAATTATTGCATAAGAAAATTATCGTCACAATTTATTAATTAAATTTAGTTAATTTTTTTCAAATTTCGAAATACATTAATGGTAGATTTATTTATCTGCGGATTATGATTCTGCGGATTTACCTGCGGAATTTTTTCCATGCGGATTTACAATTAGCTGGAGACAATAAACCACAGGAAAAATTGTAGGAAACATGTTACCTGCGGATTTTAACTCAAATCGGCAGGAACACTGAGTATATCTAGTAGTGGTACATGCTTCTACAATACACTAGGTAGATGTTTCTAATACAAACATTTATTGATATAGCACATTATTTTGTAGAAACAAGTAGACTGAAAGAAAACAGAAACCAAACAAAATAACCTATAGAAAGAAATCCACAGCCAAAGGTACATATATCAATAGCATTGATCTAAGCAGTGTAACCTCCATCAACAGCAATAACTTGTCCAGTAATGTATGATGCAGCTGGAAGACAAAGAAAGGCAACTAATGATGATATCTCTCTCGTCTCTCCCATACGATCCATAGGAGTTTGAGAAACTATACCATTTATAGCTCTACTACCTTCAGAAGCATCCTATAAGAAGCAGTTGCTACATTAATGACATGCTAGAACTATCACTATAATCTTATATGTTACATGAACAAATGCATTACCATTACTGATCCCAAAAGTTCAGTCTTGACAGGTCCAGGGGCAACAGCATTTGCACGAATATTATCCTTTGCCCACTCTAATGCCAAGTTTTTCGTGAATTGATTCACCGCACCTGAATCAATTTAGATGTTATTTTATATTACTTATCTTATATTACGCTGATATTTAATTATCAAAGAAAATAAAACATACCTTTAGTAGCTGCATATACTGATAAAATAGGAATAGCTTTTAAACCCGCAATGGACGAAGTAAAAACTATGCTTCCATATCCAGACTCTTTTAAAAGTGGGTGTGCAAGTTGACACAAATGGTAACCAGCCACAAAATTTGTGCCAACTATACTTGTTATATCCTCATCGCTATTATCTATTATTTTCTTCATTGAAGGTTTTGCAGCATTGTTTACCTATATGTTCAACAATTTCTTATTCACATAAACTGACGTTATGAAATATATAATTAAATAAATTAATAAAAATATGAATATATCATACTAGAATATTAAGCTTTCCGTGAAAGATAGAAGAAACATTTTCAATTAATGTCTTGCGTTGTTCATGACTAAGTATATCACATACTGATCCTGTTACATTAAACCCTTTGCTTTTCCATTCTTCCAGACATTTGTTAATATCATCTTCATTTCGTGAACATATATGCACGGCTGCTCCAAATTCTGCCAGCTCTTCCACAATTGCGTACCTTATTCATAATACAAAAATCAAAGTAAATAAGAAATAATAGATAAAGTTTTTCCTTTATTTACATAAAATATTTTCATTTAAATTTAATATGAATATTAATTATTAAAATACTATAAGTTATAAGTACATAATTTTTTAAATACATAAATCATGAATACTATAAATTTAAATACTATAATTTCCTTAATTTTAAATACATAAATTATAAATTATAATTTTTAATTAATATGAATACTAATTATTAAAATACTATAAAATAATAGATTTGTGTAATATACAACTTAAACTATATTTAAAATTAAAATTACAAAATAACAACAATCAATTAAGTTTTAAACAAATGAAATAATAAAAACAAATTAATAAATTTAACTAATAAATTGTACAAAATATTAAATATGAATTAATAATATCAAGACTTCTTTAAAGATCTGCATAGTCTCATACATAATAATATCTCATACTTTTTCATAATTAAATTATAATAAAAAACATTTTTCAGCACATATTCAACAATTAATTTATTATTAAATAACGTCTTATAAAAAATTTCAAGATTCAATTTAAATTTTAAGTTTTTATACATGATCTCAAAAGTTTGAGACAACTCATGAATTATACCGTAATAAAATAACATAATATGACCATAATAATAAAAAAAAGTTAAAACATGAATTTGGTCAATTTTAAAAAATAAAATAAAATCTGATCTAATATAAGTGATCTTTATAAAAGAGAATCCAAGCAAATTTGAAGTTATTGGATTTTTGTGCAAATTTTGAATTTTTTTAAAAACAATTTACAAGTTTTACTTGGCTGGTTTTTATTTTAAACATCCTAGCTAAATTACTATATTTCGTTAAAGACAAATTTGTGTAGAGAAATATAAAATCACATTCTAAGTTTGCCATTAAGAATAAAGATAAGGAAATTACCCAATGTCTCGGGTTCCTCCTGTCACTAACGCAGTCATTCCCTCTAGTGACCATCTTTTATCCTTCACGCTGCTCAACTTTGTTTCAGCCATTTTTTCTACTACACTTGAAATGCTAAGAAAAATCTCAAGTTGTTTTCCTTGATCTTGTTTGTGAGATTTAAATAATAAGCATGGTTTCTTATATACCAAATGTGTCAGAAACGTTGTGGTCGTAAAGTCAGTTTTATCGCAAAATACAATGTTTGCACATAAGTCCAAGTAAACATATCTTATCGTATCTTATATTTTAATAAAATTCTAATACCGATAAAGGTTGTGATCACACTAAATTTTATTAATTTCAACATATACAATTTAAGAACTTCTCATTGGTGATTTTCACCATTTAAAATCTGAAAATATTTTATCCGAATATATCTTCCAGCATGTTTTAGATGTGTATATCAGAAGACATCTTTTTTTACATGTTTTAATACTTAAACGTTGGATGTAATATTTTAGAGGTTGTTTCGGATATACACATTCAAAACAACCAATACAAATGTTTCGGATATGCATATCTGAAACTTCTTCTGTTTGTGTCATTTTTGTTTAAAACTACATCAACACAGATAATTTATAAACAGACAAATTTTTTATGATTTTTTCAAAAATATGAAACGAACATAACAATACGGACATAATGATTAGATTAGATGTTCAAACATAAGAAAACATAATTTAGTACATAAGTTGTTCGAAAAATACGTAATGTCAATATATTACATCGGTAACAAAAAACAATACATAACATAGGCTACTGCTATTGTGTATGCATAATCCTAACCTCATGTGACCTCCTCTGCCTCCTATATTGTGCCGCACTGGATGTCTCCCTAACCATCCTCTCAATAATCACTACGAAAAAAACAATTTTTGGCAGCGCATCTACGAAAGCGCTTTTAAGAGAAAGCGCTTTCGTAGCCTTTAAAAAAAATTCGCTTAAAAAAAGCGCTTTTATAGGGTTTCCTACGAAAGCGCTTTCATAGGTATTTGAAATATCTAACCTACGAAAGCGCTTTTGAAAAGCGCTCTTATAGGTGGCCCTATAAAAGCGCTTTTGAAAAGCGCTCTGAAAGGGGGACCTACGAAAGCGCTTTCTAAAGCGCTCTTATATGGGGGACATACGAAAGCGCTTTTTACCTCAGAAACGCTCTCATATATGGGTCTTAGAAAGCGCTTTTAAAAGCGCTTTCATAGCCTATATCCCTAAATACGAAATTTGCCCTCACTTGTTCATTTCTTCGTCTTCTTCATTTCTTCTTCCTGTTACTGTTCGTCTCATTCCTGCCGCCGTTCCTGTTCCTGTTCGTTTGTTTGTCGCCGTTACTGTTCGTCTTCCTTGCATTCCGTTCCTGTTCGTGTTCGTCCCATTGTTGCGTTTCCAGAATCCCATTGCTGCGTTCGTTCACTGCTGCTTCGTCTTCCTTCGTCGCCGTCGTTCTTCCCTCTTCTTCAGTCGTCGCCGCCGTTCACTGCGTTCTTGTCCATCTTGGTAAGTTTCTTCTTCTTCCATTATCTGTTCCGTTATTTGACCGTTTAGTTATGCATGTTCTGGCCTGTTCCGATTTCTTCTTCCATTATCTGAGTATTTCTAGGGATAGATAATGCTGTTAGTATATGTTTGGATTCTTGTTGGAAAACACCAACGTTATGATACAGGAAAATTAATAGGCCAAAAAAGCTGCAAACCTGAGCAGACAAAATTGTTTTTGAATTTTCCATTAGTTTATCATGTAGTCCTTGAATTTGTTCTTGCCTCTTTAGAAGCTCTTCTTGTTGCCTATGTCCATATTCTGCAAAATATTGTACGCTTTTCCTACATTTCATCAACTATGAGATTAATATTGAGCCAAACATTTTTTGAATACAAATTTATGGCATTTAAACAATCTTACCTGCTTTCTTCTAGCGCTTTAAATTGAACCTCATTCAATGAATTTAGACCCTCGAGTGCTGTGGATTGTCCGTCTAAAAGTTGTTGTTGTTTATCTAAAGAGATCCCTGCCATATTTCCAATATCTTCAGCTTTGTTTTGCAGATTATTCATCTTTGATGACATTGCATCTCCTACTTTGATGACCTCATTCTCAATCTCAATGGTTTCATCTCTTAACTTTTCTATTTCTTTACCCAAATAGCTATAAGATTCTTGAAGCAATGCTACTCCATCCTCTAAATTCCTCTTCATGTCCTCTTGGCCTTCTTTTAGTTGCGACTGTGACGCTGCAATTTCCGTAGTTTGCTCATAGACACTCTTGGAATGTCTTAATACCACATCAATATTGCCTTCCACATTCTTGACAGTTTGTGCTACTAACTGTGTGTGACTATTAACTGATTCGAGAGATTTGGAAATTTGTTTTGAGTTTTGTAATAGACAATCTGATTTCTCTTCAATGCTATCTAACTTGTCCTCCACATATTGAGCAGAATTTTTCAATTCAGTTACAAGTCTCTCAGTTTCATGTTTAAATGCATGTGTCCTGTACAAATATACAAACTTAGTTCAAGTTGAGGCAAAAACATCAAAGAATCACTCTTTAAAAAAATTGAATTATTGAATAATATTAAAAATTGAAAGAAAAAAAAAACTTCACTTAACTGTAGTTGATAGCAAATGGAGTTGGTTTCGAGGTAGAATTCGAGATAAACCTTATGAGCAAGATCATCTAAGTTTCTCAGACATTTAGCAATCGGTGTTTTTGAGTCACAGTGAGGAAAGGAAGGCCTGCCAGAATCTCTTTGAAAACAATCACTTAAATGCCAAGCTAATCTAGATCTTTTATCATTAGTAGCCAAAATCTCAGAACATCAGGCAAATAGATTTTTATAAGCATTTTGCCAACAAACATTTGATCCAAACATTCATTTTTTAGTTTGGTCATCAAATGCCTCCGGAGATTGTAAGGTAAAAAAATATATGAAAATGGATATAAAAGTCCCTTACATGGCATCTTTTCAAATATCTTTTAGTTATAATTGTTATTTCCCTTTTTTGTAATGCTTTGTATTTATAGAATTATGTGTATAGAATTATGTATATTTCCTTTTTTTCAAATATCTTTTAATTATGTATTTACAAATCTAACACTATCCTTTTTCTACTTATTTTTTGTTTATATGTTTCTTATTTGTGGGTTGATGTATGTTTTATTTCTCCGGGTGCATGCTACATAATTTTGGTGGTAACATTGAAATGGTTTGTGTTTTGGATTATATTTGTGGGTTTATGTTGACTTTGTGAATTCACTATTTCTAATATTTGTGTTGTATTATTGTCATAGCTTTCCCAAACATTGAAAATATATATGTGACATTTATTGTGAACCTTTATGTTAAAATAGTATATATCTTTCGACAATCGATCCGAAATATTAAATAACATTCTATGAATTTGCAGCGTTTCCCGGCCTAGTTCGACGTACGACGCTCATTCTCCGCGTTTCTTAGAGTTCGAAACATCTGAGAGGTAACTTTCTTCCTCAAATTACTGGTATATATTGTGATGAATTTGTCTTAAATTGTCTTTCGTATGTTGCATTTTCTTGATACGGATTCATTCTGTGTATACTTTGCGTTTTGACAGAAACACAGTATACTACTGTTTTGTGCACTAATTAGTTGATATGGATAAGACATGGATGTATTCCAATCGATTGTCGAAAGACTACGAGAATGGTGTTTCCGAGTTTGTTAAGTTTGCTGTTGCGCACGCCAAAGACCCCAGTCGTATGACATGTCCCTGTTTGTATTGCTGTTATGGGAACCAGGTTGACGCAGTTCAGTTGGCATCGCATTTAATTCGGTATGGAATTGATAGGAGTTATACATGTTGGAATATGCATGGTGAGAAAAGTAACGGGAATGTTGAATCGGGGTATGCAAGGACCTATGTTTCAAATGATGATTGCACAGATACATACGATTATGATCGAGTCGAAGAAATTGCAGAAGCGCTTGTAGAAGATCTTAACGATTGTCCCAAAATGTTCGAGAGGTTAGTAAGCGATGCAGAGAAACCGTTGTATAATGGTTGTACAAAATTCACAAGATTGTCTGCGGTGTTAAAGTTGTACAACTTAAAAGCCGGCAATGGATGGTCGGATAAAAGTTTCACAGAGTTATTAGCCCTTATGAAAGATATGCTACCAGAGGATAATGTTCTTCCCAATCGAACGTATGAGGCCAAAAAGATGTTGTACTCCATTGGCATGAGCTATGATAAGATACATGCGTGTCCAAAAGATTGCGTTTTGTTTCGAAACGAGTATGCATCGTTAAATGAGTGTCCTAAATGCGGTTCCCCTCGATATAAGAAAAAGTTGTCTCCGACAAAAGTCTTATGGTATTTTCCTATAATCCCGAGATTTAGACGGATGTATCGTAGTGAAACTGATTCAAGACACTTGACTTGGCATTCAGATGAAAGAATTATTGATGGAAAATTTTGACATCCGGCAGATTCTCCACAGTGGATGAAAATTGATAATGATTATCCTGAATTTGGAAAAGAAGCAAGAAACCTTCGCTTGGCATTGTCTACTGATGGAATGAACCCACACGGTATTCAAAGTATCTCTCATAGCACATGGCCTGTGATTCTTATGATTTATAACCTACCTCCAAGGCTATGTATGAAGCGTAAGTACATGATGCTGTCTATGTTAATTTCTGGGCCTAAACAACCAGGAAATGACATGGACGTATACTTGGAACCATTAATCGAAGATTTGAAGATTTTGTGGGAGAACGGTGTGGAGGTTTATGATGGTTATAGGAAAGAAAGTTTCAACTTGAGGGCGATGTTGTTTGGAACAATTAACGATTTTCCAGCATACGGCAATCTATCCGGGTATAGCATTAAAGGTGAAAAAGCGTGTCCTGTTTGTGAAGACGGAACCGATACCATGCGATTGAAACTTTGTCAGAAGAATGTCTTTCTCGGTCATCGTAGATTCTTAACTTCTAAACATCAGTATCGTGGATGGAGAAAAGCGTTCAACGGAGATACCGAACAACGTAGAGCTCCGCCTGGTTTGACAGGTGAT